AGCTCAGAATGGAAAGCTTCAATTGCCCTGAGCTAATTGAAGGCCAGGGAAAGCAAACGTCTGCCCTAAAGTGACAAATGAGGGGGAGAGCTTGGATGATAAATCTGTTACTTATTCTGAAATCTACATGAAGGAGCTTGTTTTGTAAATGAAAAATTGGTCTTCACACGCACCTCTGTACACCAAGTCACCTCTCAGGGAAAACATCCAGGAAGATGACCCTCAGGTTCATTTAGCTTGTTTACAAATATTATATGAAAGCAAATTGTTCCCTAAAGAGCTCTATTTCATATGCATTCAATGTTCAGCTGGTATTAGGATTTAGGATATACTCTCATTCTTCGCCTCCCCTCCCATCTGTCTCAACAAAATACAAGCCTGAGGTCAGTGCCAGCTCATCAGTGCTTGGCAGTGGCTCCTGCAGGCGGGGGCGGAAGTGGCTGCAAGAAGGCAGAGAAGGAAGACACTGCCAGCACCCACAGCTCCAGAGGCCGCCCCCAGATCTCATTTCAGTGCCAGTCTCTGGAGCCACCCAGAACACAGTCCTCACCCAAGGCCTCTCGAAATTGAGGAGCAACAAACAAACGTGGTACCTCTAAACTTTCCTACGAGGTCTAAAATCTCATACCAAAAACAGATCTGTGCTACCAAATTTATTTTGAGATGTTTATGTCTTCTTGATTCCAAATGCCATACTAGTGCAGAAGGATAAGTAGAGGCGATTTCACTTACTAGTGTGTAAACTAAAATTCTAAATAAAATTTTAGGACACAGAATGTACCAATATGGAAAGATTATTCACCACAATCAAGAAAGACTGACTCAAGGAAGGTCAGGCTGATATTTATCCATTCAGCCACCAATCCATCTGCTTATATATCCACCTACCCATCCTTCTATCTTCCCATTCACTCACCCATCCACCTTCCCATGCCTCCATCCATCCATGCACCCATGTATCCATCCATGCCCTTACCCTCCCATCCATTCACCTACCCTCCCATCCATCCACCCACTCACCCTCCCTTTCATCCATCCATCCATCCACCCACTTATTTTTCCATTCGTCCATCCATCCACTTATCCTCCCATCCATCCATCCATACACCTCTGCATCCATCCACATACCCATCCATCCATCCATCCATCCATCCACTTACTCTTCCATTCATCCATCTATCCATCCATGTACCCCTACATCTCATCCATGTATCCATCCATGCATCCATCTATCCACTTACCCTTCCATCCATCCAACTATTCATCCACCCACCCTCCCCATCCTCCAACTATCTACCTGAGGACTGGTCCATCCGTCTACTCATCCACCCATCTGTCCATCCACCACTCCTTCCATTCATCCAACCATTTATTGAGCACGTAATCTGCGCAGGATATATGTCAGGTACAGGGTACCGAGAAATGAAAAAGAAAAATCCAGTCTTCTGGGAGCCAACAGTCCAGCCCAGCAGACAACAAGGAATAGTGAAAGTGTGCAAATACATTCGTGAAGTGAGTTTAAGAGTCACTGTCCCCCTGCCAAACCATCCCAGTCTGAAGAGGTTAGCACATTCACGGGGCAGTAGATGTCCACTTTCAAAGTAAACTCTTAAAAGATGGAATGATTGAACCAGAAGGTGTGTACGGCTGTCAACCTTCAGTTGCATGGTGTCAAGGAACCCTCCAGACAGGTTCCTCAAAAAGCCCTCCAGTCAGGTTTTGCCAAATGCCCCTCTTCTGTGCCACCCACAAGGTGACAGCTCCCTCTTCCCTTCATCTTAAAGGCTTTCACATCTGTCATGAACATAAAGCCTGATCAGCTCAAGGGTAGGATGACACCTCCTGAGAGAGCTGACAGAAGTGGTTACTATAAAGGTAGAATGGAGAAGCAGGGACATTTCTCCCAGTGTTAGGGACTGAACTGTGCCCCACAAAATCCATGTGCTGAAGCCCTAACCCTTAGTATCTCAGAATGTGACTGCATTGGAAGACAGGACCTTAGAAGAAGTAATTAAGGCAAAATTAGGTAATTGGGTTCCACTGGGGAGGGCTCTGATCCAGTAGGACTGGGGTCCTTATAAGAAGAAATGATACAAAAATGCACAGAGGGACGACCCTGTGAGGACACAGGGAGAAGACAGCATCTACAAGCCTAGGAGAGAGGCCCCAGGAGGAATCAGCCCTGTCACACTTTGATCTGGAACTTCCAGCCTCTAGGATTGTGGGAGAATCCACTTCTGTTGTTTGAGCCCCCCAGTCTTGGGGAGTTTGTTATGGCCACACTAGGAAACAGACCCAGTATTCAAGGGGCCCCAAGTCAGCAGGAGAGAGCATTTCCCCAAAGCAGGCTCCTGCTGGCTATGATGCCTGACCTTGCAGGTCTGGGGTGAAGCCTCTGATGGCAGTGAGGGTGGCGGGTGGTGGGCTGTTCAGGACAGAAGAGCTGGAGGGAAGCAAACGTGCTGGGTCTGCTCCCTCAGGTTCAGTTCTATTTTAGCTCAAACACCACCTGTTTCTCCCATAACCCAGCCAGAAGTCACTTTGCTCTCTCTCCTCTGAGCTTCTGAAGCATCACATAACTTAAAAAAAAAGTATCATCACTTCAATTTGCCCTACTTGTCTTTATATTAACATAGGATCTTGAACTTCACAAAAAATGTTACCTCTATTTGGTTCACCTGAGCAACAACAACAACAAAAATTCTGATCTCAACATTCTTTTGTTATCCAAACAGAATACAACAATACATACTTTTTGTTATGCATCAGTTATCACAGCAGCACTTCATATGATTTACACAGACGCGTCTACGTTATTTTAAACTTATGCAAAACACTGGGTATCTTCAAACCTTTGTATTCTAGATTTTCTTTTTGGTGGGCAAAGGACAATCCCTTGCCTGAACTTTGACTTCTATTATTTTCCATTTAAATTTTTCAAGTGTATTCTTTCTTGCTGGTCCTTCAGAAATTAAAGAGTCTCTGAAAAAAGTTGAAAACAACTTTTCAACCCACATATTCCCAAATTTCATCACGCCTCACCACTCAAAAAAAAAAAACAAAAAAAACGCACCCAACAATTCTGAAAATTGCTGGGTTAGTAGCTCAAAAGCAGAGAGTTTCTGGAACTAATTTCTTTGGAGTGGCTATGCAGTCTGCTGGAAGACACGGCCTTGATGAATGAGGCATGGGGCCCCTGCTTCCTCTCGACCCTTTCAGTATCGACAGTGCCATTCACTCACTCTCACACAGCCTGCACGTGACAGCTGTTCAGGGCGACCCCCTCCATGCACAGCAGAGCTATACATTCTCACCAGCACGGGTGCCCTCTGCACAGATGATACGCTTGTGGCATCAGGCACAGCGCAGGGGCAAAGCAAGGCCCGCATGTGCAGAGCCCATCGAGCACTGCCCGCGATATACCGCACACCCGGCCTCAACGGCCTGGGAGCTGGCTTGGAAAACAGACTGCAGCTGGTGCTCGGCACGTGACCCACTTGGAATCCACAGTCATAAAGCTCTAATTGTGCTTCTCAGACACAGCTAAATTCTGTAGGTGGATTATTCGTCGGCCTTTCTGACCCACGCATTCTTGGTTTCAGCCTCAGAGTCTGTTAAGTAACTGCAGAGACTTCCTCCACAAGCAGACACACAATATCAATCCTGTCGCTGCAGAGTCACATAAATATTTGATCCCCTTGTAGAAGGCTAACAGCTCTGTTTAAGGCCAAATGAAATAAAACCCCATTACATGAGGCTCTTGAAAGCAAACTTTTAAATTGGTAATTTCTGCAACAGAACCTTAAGTTTTGAGGTTGGTGTTTAACATGAATGTCACAGCAATCACACAAGATTCTCAAGGCGACAGAACAATCCACACCCAGGAACCCTGTCGTGCATTTACTCCCATCCCTCCAACCGCCTTTTAAAAACAAGATTGCACCACATCTTCTGCAGAGACGCACTCTCCTCCTGCCCTCCTCATGTGATGAAGGGGAAGATTATACTTTTTTTTTTTTTTTTTTTTTTGAGACAGGGTCTCGCTCTGTTGCCCAGGCTGGAGTGCAGTGGTGCAATCCCCATTCACTGCAACGTCCACTTCCTGGGTTCAAGCGATTCTTGTGCTTGAATGAGTAGCTCAGCCTCCAGAGTAGCTGGGACTACAGGAACCTGCCACCACACCCGGCTAATTTTTTCGTTTTTTTCTATTTTTAGTGAGACGGGATCTCACCATGTTGCCCAGGCTGGTCTTGAACTCCTGGGCTCAAGCAATTCACCTGCCTCAGCCTCCCAAAGTGCTGGGAATACAGGTGTGAACCACTACGCCTGGCCCAGATTATACAATGTATTTAATCTAACCCTGTCCTCGCCACAACTAAGCGGCCTAGTGCACATTCTGGAATTACGGCACAAAACGCTCTAATCTCCTGCTGCTGCCACAGTTTCTGCAGATGCTTGCAGCCTCTCTTTGGGAGTCAACTAACTCGATTTCTATTTTAAAGCTCAAAATTAACTCATTAACTAGGTCCAATTTAGGAAAGCCTGCCCGTTCCTTTCCTACTAATAATCCTTAGAGGCAACTCCGATTTCCAGGCCGCAGCTAGGCACACAGCTGTGTGCTAGATAGCTAAAGCTGCCCTTCCATAAGGCGCTCTGTGCAAAGACGTGCAGCTCCAGTATGTTAAACTGGACTTCTCATTATGTCTCCATAAGCAGTCTTACCGTGTGGAAAACACAGTAGCCATTTTAAGAACCAAAAAAATGTCACCGCCGTGTAAGAAGGCCTCCCTGCCCTGGGATGTGTCTCTGGGCAGGGCCGCAGGGTGCACAGGCTCTGCCCAGACCTCCAGTGCATCAGGGATGCTGGAAATTATGCTGGATTTCAGCCGCTTTGGGTTTGGCAAAAGCCAGACGTCTAGCCATGTTAACCAAGCACCCACCCATACAGAAGCCCACCCCCAGACACCTCTTCAGTAACTCTGAATCCAAATTTCACCCACCTCAGCGTGGACTGTCCCTCCTTGGCCCGGACTGCGAAGGGAAGCTCTTCTCTGTGCTCGCCAGGGTCCCCTGCCTGCCTTCGCAGTTCGACAGAAGCTTCCTGCAAAGGGCAACACAGTAAGACACCAAGTCCTCAAGCTGCCTTCCTCAGGACATCTGTGATTATGAAAGCCCTCATTTGTGGGTTTGCCTTGCCAGGGCAGCTCTACAAAGCATTTCATTGAGACGACTGAACTAAGACCCCGCGTCCACTTCTGTTCTGGGCAGGAAACAACTCCTACGTGAAGCCTGTAAAACCGTGTGGCACAATTGGCCAAAAGAAATAAAATAAAATACAGCTGGTCACAAATTACAGCGGTGAAGCCTCAAGCTCTAGTACTCGCCAGAGCCCGGGATTCTTTGCTCCTGACAGAGCAAGCATGGAATTCTCAGAGGTCATGCTGAACAGCCACAAACCAGGGTATCCAACGGTGGAAAAAAACACTCACAGCATCTGTATGGATTTTCAGGGCTGGGACACCACAGAGCAAACCAGCAGCCTTCTTTCCATGCACATATTAGGTATCTTGTATTAAATATACTAGTGGTTCTTTTTTTTTTTTTTTTTTTTTTTTTGAGACAGGGTCTTGCTCTTTTGCCCAAGCTGGAGTATAGTGGTGAGAACACAGTTCATTGCAACCTGAACCTCCGGGGCACCGCCACACCTGGCTAAGTGTTTTTTCTTTTTTTGTAGAGATAAGGTCTTGTTTTGTTGCCCAGACTGGTCTGGAACTCCTGGCCTCAAGTGATCATCCTTCCTCAGTCTTCCAAAGTGCTAGAATTGCAAATGCACCACCACACCCACCCTGGATTCTTTTAAAAAGAAACTGCATCTATCACTGCAGAACTTTTTTTTTCTTTGAGATGTGCAAGTGCAGATGTAATAGGGAGAAAAAGCTTTCAAAGAGGGCAGGGGCGAGAGAGAAAGAGGCTGTCAACTTTGAAGCAGGGCTAAGAAATATGCAGTTTTCTAGAAAGCTGGACATTAACTCTCACCATCAAAACTCTCACCTTAAAAAAGTGCAAACACTTAATGTGTTTTAAATACATTTTGCCCCAGAGCAATCCTTGAAAATACTTGCAAATAAAAAACAGAATACTAAAAAAACCCAAATACTATAAATATTAAATGTCATCCATCAGTGTTTGAAAAGTGGCTATTGTATGTCATGTTAAGCTTTTACATAAACCACACATTTCCATGTCAGAGGTGTTAGTTATCATTTCCCATAGTTTCTCCCTCCAAGTTCTTTGCTGAGTATGAAGGCAGGAGCAAGCTACTTAAGGGGAAACACAGTTAAAGCCAGAGATTATGGCAACGAGAACGGGAATGAAAAAAATGTGGGTTTTCGGGAATATGGCACTTTAAATTGCCTAGAATGTGTCAATTTTGTCCCCAAATACCTCTGACACAGAGGACACTAGGAGATCTGGAAAAGGTAAATGCTCACACAGCTGGAGATGAGTAGCCCTGGCGTCAGCCACTGCATTCTGGGTGTGTCCTGTCCTCAGGTTAAGATGATGGTCAGCAGGGGCCATGCCCCTGCTGTGGCTCCATGCTTACCTGCTTGTAGTGGTCTGTGGATGGCGAAGACCGGGACCTCCCATGAACGTGCTGCGGCCTCTCGTGCGGGTCCAGGCCCACATCCAGGATGTCATCCGCTGAGTGGCAGCGCCCGGAGCTCCTGGCCTCCAGAGGCTTCCTCTGTTCCTTCCAGGAGGCCTGATACTCTGCAAAGGTGCCGAGCCTCTGCGGCGGGTCTGACGTCCCTGTCTTCTCCGCTGTGCTGTGAGCATTGAGGCTGTCCCCAAGGGAGGTGGTGCGCGACCAGGGCTCCGTGCCCTCACACGTGCGGCCCACTGTCCACGGCCTCTCTGGCTTGTCTCTCAGGATTCCATGAAGCACTTGCCTCTGGGCAGGCCTCTGGGGAACAGGTTTGCTCGTTTCCTCAAAAAACTTCCACCTGTCAGCAAATGTGCCCACAGTATCCTCAGATGTCCTGGGGTGCTGGTGAGGACTGTAGCCCCTCGTGAGGCCCACCTCATTCATCTTCTCGGGTTCCGAGTAGGACTTCAGTTTCTGCTCAGCTGTGAACCGTCTCCGGCCTCCGATGCGGGGCGGGTGGGGCCCGCCACCTGTAGATGAGGGTGGCTGGGCCAGGCCTGCCTCCCAGAAGTGGCGGACAGTGTCTGGATCACCCATCCGGTGTTCCAGTGACTCCGGGTATAGATCTGCTGGGTTGGGGTCCAAGTCGCGGCGCTTGAAGGACGTGGCCCTCAGGACTCGGGCTTGGGCCTCCTTCAGGTGGTCTTTATAGGTGCCAGCGAAGGGTCCTTCCTGGGCGCCACCTCCCAACTTGACCCTCCAGCGGCCGGTGGCATCCTCCGCCTCGCCTGCTGCAGTCAGAGCCACCGTGCTCCGGCTCTTCTGCAGCTTGGCTCGACGCATCTGGATCTCATTCCGCAGGGTGGTCGCAAAGCGGTCGCTTCTCCGGGTGGGCTTGCCCACATGGGCGTCGAACGGTGGCGGTCTGGTGGCGCTGTCCTCTGGGCTGCTCTCAGGCCGGTGTTTCCCCTCCTGGGTCAGGGAGTGCAACAGGGGCGTCTCCTGCGGGCAGATCCTGCTGCTCTCCCCATCTGCCCATGTGATGCTGGCTTTTTCTACACGGCTGGCCCTGGGAGGCTCCTGGGCTCCCGCGGAGCAGCCCTCGGCCCCTGTGTCCAGCGGGTAACACCGTCCTGTCTCCCAGGCATCTGGAGGACCCTCAGGCTGAGGTAGGTGACGGTGTGGGCTCTGGCCCACCGTGGGTGGGGGAAGACTCTTGAGGGCTCCAGGGGCCGTGTCAGAAGGCCAGCATCCTGCCCAGAGCTGTGCCACTTGCGGGCCTCCCTGCACACAGGGCCGGGGGCCCTGCCAGCCGCTCCCCAGCTTCTGGTCACAGCTGCTGAGCCCCCTCACCTGAGGAAGGCTGTCGTTCTGGGAGCTGGCAGCCGCTGGCTCCTGCCCAAGGCTGTCAGCACAGAGTGGGCTGTGGTCACTGTACAGGGGAGGGTGGCGGCCGCTACGAGGAGACTGAGGGAGGCACACATCTGAGCTGGACAGAGAGGCCTGCAGCCTACTGGAAGCTGCATCCTTGGAGGGTGGCCAGCTGCCATCTGCGCGGGCCTCCTGCGGGCAGCCCGGGCCTCCCGATCCCTTCCCGAGGCTCCCTGGCTGTGCTGACCTCCAAGGCCGATCAGTGGGCTCTGGTCTCCAGTCACCACGGGGCTGAGCCTGGGCCGGGGCCGTAAAGTGCTGTGCCACGGCCACCTCTGAGAACACAGGGCCCTGGGCCTTCTCGTGGCTCTTGGTGGCAGCAAAGCTGTCACTGCGGAGAGGGGGAGGGGGAGGGGGTGGGGATGCTGGTGCTTTCTTCTTATCAGGAACATACCAGACTGGCCCAAAATTGGACCTCCCAGGGACAGCCAGCTTGGGCTCGGCATTGTACTCTGGCCTGGGGCCTTTGTCGCTGTCACTGGGGACCCTGGGCGGGAAACACCTTAGCTTCTCCTCCAAGCCCTGAGGGTCACCTGCGGCCTGGGCCTGCCGGCCACCCTGTCTGGGAGCCTCCCAGAGGCCTACACTGTAGAGGATGTTCTCTGCAGAGGACGTGTCGGCTTTGCACAAGGTGTGGTCAGGAGTGCTAGAGCTGGTGGAGAAGGAGCCGTAGGCTGAGTCACGCTTGCTGTGGCTGCCCAGGTGGTCGATGCTGCTGTTGGACTTGGCCACCGAGAGGCGACTGGAGGGGTGGTCCAGGCTGCCAACACTCCCCAGGGAGCTGAAGTGGTCTAAGGTGCGCTGTAGGTTCGTCTGCTCCCAGGAACTGGACAGGTCGTGGGAGGAAGAACTGCAAGAACGAGAAGAAGGACAAGAGAGGGTGTGCTTTAGCATCAGCAATGGCAAAGGGCAAGGCGGTGGACGCAGCTGGCCCTCCGTGGAAATACCAAAACGCCAAACAGCAACTTCCCAGGGTGAAGTTGCTGAGGCTGAGGTTGCAGCTCAGTACATCTGGATTTTAGCAGAGACAGGGAGAAACTGAGCACAGGCTGAAAAGACTGTGTCCTCCCCGTGACATGCCTTTTTACCAAACGGATGCCTTTTGATGGGGTCTTGCTGTGTTGTCCCGGGTGGTCTTGAACTCAAGCAATCTTCCCACCTTAGCTTCCCAAAGTGTCGGGATTACCAGCATGAACCATTGCGCCCAGCCAAGACCAGTATTTATTAATAGCCAAAAACTGGGTGGTTACATTAGCTCCAGACATACGCACATACCTGAACACACACACACACACACACACACCAGACATGCTCACTCATACTCACACACTCACATATACATATACACGTGCACACACATGCACATACAAGCAAACAGATGCACATGCACACATAGAGGCACACATGAACACATACAGATGGACACATGAACACTCATACACATACAAGGACACACAAACATGTAGAAATACACATGCACACTCACACCCCACACACACACTCACACCCATAAATACACACAGATACACACATACACACACACACTCACATAAGCAGGGAGACATCCACACACGCACACCAAAACCAGACTATCTGCTGTTACCGCCATCCTCTTAACAGGAGACTAGTGAGGATACTGCCACTAACGCCAAGAGGGTTGAGGAGAGGCTACCAAAGCTTAACAGAACCTCTTGGGAGCTTTTACAAGATACACCTGCCGCCCCATATAGATCTCCTGCCTTCCAGTCCGTGTGTAAAACCCTGGAAAGGAGAGGGGTGCCGTCAACGCCATCCCACCGGCTCAGAACCCTACCGCCTGGCATCCCACCTGGTCAATCCCAAAGGAGCTTGGCCGAAACCCAAGTCCTATGCTCCCCTTCTTGCTCACGCCTTGTCTTGCCATTTCATTTTGTGTCACATGCTTGCCGGTTCAGTCAAAAATTCAGAGCACTCCAACTGTGATTATGTGTCAGTGGCCCAGTCTCATCAGAAACATCAAAATAATTCTGCAGTCAGGAGTGTGCTCCCTGTAGAAGGCTGAACAAACCTGGCGTCCTGGACGGGAATGAGTGCCTACCTCGCATGGTGTCGGCCAGACCAGGAAGGACAGCCGCTGGCGGAGGGGAACGGGGAGGCCGCTAGCTCAGGGTGGCTGTCAGAGAACTTGGTGGCATGCCAGGAGTGAGGCCTCCAGCCCAGCTCGCTCCTCCTAGAAAAGAACGCAGGGGAGGCGGGGGTCAGGGACTGCACACAGCGCTCACCCTCGTGCCAAACAGTGCAGGGGGCTCAGGGACCGCACACAGGGCACACGCTCATGCCAAACAGTGCAGGGGGCTTGAGGACTGCACACAGCGCACGTGTGCTTGTGCCAAACAGTGCAGGGGGCTCAGGACCGCACACAGCACGTGCGCTTGTGCCAAACGAACAGTGCAGGGGGTTGAGGACCGCACACAGCGCATGCGCTCTCGTGCCAAACGGTGCAAGGGGCTCGAGGACCGCACACAGCGCACGTGTACTCATGCCAAACAGTGCAGGGGGCTCGGGGACTGCACGCAGCGTGTGTGTGCTCGAGTCAAACAGTGCAGGGGGTTCAGGGAATGTGCACAGCGCGCACGCTTGTGCCAAACAGTGCAGAGACTGACACTGGTCACAGCAACTCAGGCAGGCGCATGGCACCATGTTCAGGGGTTGCACACTTAATCCAAACCCACACCTTCTTTTTAGATTTTTGCTCACTACCCATTTGCCCTAACCAGAGTGGGAATCACAGGCTCCAGATGTGCAGCAGCCCTTATCTTTATTTTTGAGATGGAGTCTCACTTTGTCGCGCAGGCTGGAGTGCAATGGATCACTGCAACCTGGGCCTCCCAGGTTCAAGTGTTTCTCCTGCCTTAGCCTCCCAAGTAGCTGGGATTACAGGCGCTCACCACCACGCCCAGCTAATTTCTGTATTTTTAGTAGAGACCAGGTTTCACCATGTTGGCCAGGCTGGTCTTGAACTCCTGACCTCAAGTGATCCACTCACCTTGGCCTCCCAAGGTACTGGGATTACAGGTGTGGGCCACTGTAGACCCGGCCGGCCCTTATCTCTAAAATGTATTCCTCCATAAATATGGTTAACTTGCCAATTTAAAATCTTAGAAATGTAAAAATAAAGAACATTTATTCTAAATAAACGAGTACACAAATTTTGCCCTCTGCCCGCCCCAACATGAACACACAGAGAACCTCCTATCTTTCGCTGGAGAAAAGGTAAATGAGTCCCCTAGGCAGTCGGGTCACACAGAGTTCAGACAGCTTATCTGTGTCTGTTTACCTAGGTAACAAAGTAAAGACAGCCACCTTCTGGTTGACTAAGACTAGTAGCTGCATCTTACCCTGAGTCTCTTAGTCAACCAAAGATCCCCCCAGGGAGTCATGACAACCCGCACCAAAAGGCTAGAGTCCCTTCAGCCAGGGCTCCTGAACACAGAGGGGCTTTCCTGGGCTCCCCTGCCACAGTCCCCACCATCCCATGTGTGTCTTCTTAGTGTCTTGGCCACATCTGCCCAGATGTGATGAGGTGTGTCTGGTTAGAAATCCCGATGGATGTCGGTAATGCAATAGGGCCTCCAGGGGAACACTGCTGGGCGGGAGATCCTTCCGCACTCACTTCTCCAGCCTCATGGTAGGAAGCCAGCTTTACTTTTCTCTAATTTGGGACAGAACTGACAGCTGATAGCCCAATCAAGAATGGAGAACAAGCTCAAGTGGGCCTCTTAAAATACTTTGTGGAGATCAGACGTTTTTCCCAGCAGGCAAAAACATTAAAGAATATTATGCAATAAAGAACATCTTACAAAATAAAACTGAAAAGCATTTATAACACAAACCTTTCGATGACTCAGATCATTTTAACGAGGAAAAGTATATGGGTGGCAAAATGTGGAACATGCTGACTTTATGATAGTTTCTCAGGAACCAAAGAGAAAGTATAAAAGACAAATTCAGCACCCCATGGAAGGAAAGCAATTGTAAAACCCAGACTGTACCTCATGGAATTTCTCAAAATCCTCGTAAGGAAGGTTCTGGCCATGTGAATTTCATTTTCAGCTGGCTTTCTCTGTGCTATGACATCCACAACTTCTTTCATCTTCCTTTATAGTTAATTAATGAAGAAAATAAACTAGACTGACTGAAACTGGAGGAAAGGGGAGAAAAAGAGAAGGCTAGGAAAAGAAAACGTCTGACACTCAAGATGACACTAGTTCAACCCTGCTATGGGAATAACTGGGCTACTAGCTGGTTTAGAGGGTCAGCAGTTCTCCATGGGTACAATAAAAGTTCTCCCAGATAAACTATCATTAGGAAGCACATATAAGAATATTAGCAGCAGATTTTGTTCTCACAAAGTATGCATGCAAATGACTGGGTGCTGTGGCTCACACCTGTAATCCCAGGACTTTGAGAGGCTGCTGTGGGAGGACTGCTTTCGGGCAGGAGTTTGAGATCAGCCTGGGCAGCATAGCAAGACCCCATCTCTGCACAAAAATAAAAAATCAGCCAGGCGTGGTGGCACATGCCTGTGGTTGCAGCTACCACGGAGCCCAGGAGGTTGAGGCTGTAGTGAGCCGTGTTTGCACTACTGCATTCCAGCCTAGGTGACAGAGTAAGACCCTGTCTCTTAAAAATATATATATGTGTAGGCCAGGCGTGGTGGCTCACGCCTGTAATCCCAGCACTTTGGGAGGCTGAGGCAGGTGGATCACGAGATCGGAGATCGAGACCATCCTGGCTAACACAGTGAAACCCCATCTCTAATAAAAATAGAAAAAATTAGCCGGGTGTGGTGGCGGGCGCCTGTAGCCCCAGCTACTTGGGAGGCTGAGGCAGGAGAATGGCATGAACTCGGGAGGCAGAGGTTGCAGTGAGCCAAGATCATGCCACTGCACTCCAGCCTGGGCAACAGAGCGAGACTCTGTCTTAAAAAATAATAATAAAGTAAAAAAAAAAAAAAAATACACACACACACACACACACACACACACACACACACGTGATAGATTATGAGAAATCCAGTGACCTTGTGATGCCATGGCATGAGGAAGCCCAAGTGAGCCACGCGGAAAGGCCGTGTGGAAAGCAACACCAGGCAGCCCCAGCTGTCGCCCAACCTCCTGGCCTACGCACCAGACACAGGAGAGAAGGAAGTCATTTGCACATATGGCCCCTGCAGAGGCGACATGGAAAAAGACTGAGGAACCCAGTTGGCAGCCAGAACCAAGGCCCAAGCCAACCCTGCGGAAGGCCCCTGTCATGGGGTAAGGGAAAGAGTGAGTCCCAGCTGTGCCCTGCCTCTATTCCTAGCTTTGGCCCTGGAGAGACGCACATCAATCCCGGGTGTAGCCACTGACGAGTCATGAGGGAAGAGGGAAGTCACTTATCCTTATTCACAAGTGGTTAATTTATTCAAAGTGACAAAATCCAAAGTTCAGCTCCTTGGTCATTCTGGCCACATTGCGAGTGCTCAATGACCACATGTGGGTAGTGGCTACTGCATGGGCAGCACAGATACGGAACATCTGCAGCCGTGCAGCTGGAGCACTGCCTTAGAGATATAGTAACCCCATCTCATCTGCATGGCGGGGACGCTGCTACCCGCCTGCGACTGTCTGCTGCCCGTGACCCTAGCACAGTGACTGTTTACACCGCCTCCCTCCCCAACACTTTCATAATGTGCAGATAACTACCTTTTGGAGATTTTCTAGAGCATATTTTTAAATCTTGAAATAGCCAGCCCTAACACATAGCATGCTTCTGAGTACCTCCGTATAGGTCAATTGCTTTGTGCTCAATTTTATGACTAGAAATTCTATTTTACACCACTAATTTTGGGGCAACTTTTCATGCAGCAAAGAAGATCAAAATGGAGAGTAATCATCTTAAATCTGCTTTTAAAAATATAATAATTTTTATTTTTAATTTTTTGTAGAGATGGGGTCTTGCTATGTTGCCCAGGCTGGTCTCAAACTCCTGGCGTCAAGCAACTCTCCTGCCTCAGCCTCCGAAAGCACTGAGATTACAGGCATGCGCCACTATGCTCAGCCTTAAATCTGCTTCTGAAAATATCCAGGAGGTATCTTCCTCCCCATGTACACAAAGCTTCAGTTCGCAGAACTGTTTCAAAGAAAATGAATCATCCCCATGCACCGATTCCTTAAATCCAAGTATGAAGAGAAATTAACCCTTTAGCTTGGTCAGTTACATTCAGGAGACAGCAGCGTGGTGGTAACATTAACCTAAACCAGCAGTTAGCCAAAAAACCCAAAACACATCTCAACCTTCCACTGGCCTCAGGCTAAAATAAAAATTAATTTAGTGTTGCAAATGAATAAGGCAGTGACCACAGAAGCCTTCTAGCAGCTGAGAAGGCTGAACAATCCCGTTTCTGGACCAAAACGTCATTCTGTTGAAATCTGAATGTTATGTTTTAAAACAAAATTGTAATAATAATATCATTCCAGATTTACTCTTTTCCCTTAGAAGTTTATTCTGTAATGATGATATTCAGCTTGTATCTAATACAGACTTTAACAGCTGGACATTTAGTCAAAACGTATACTGTTCCATGGGTGGAAGAATGCACAAACAAAATGTGGTCTATCCATACAATGGAATATTACTTGGCAATAAAAAGGAAATTTTGACATATGCTACAACATGGAAGAACCTTGGGGACGGTATGCTACGTGACAGTAGCCAGTTACAAAAGGACAAATACTGTATGATTCAACTTATATGAGGTGCCTGATTTGTCAAAATTATGAATGCAGAAAGTAGAATGGTGGTTGCCAGGGGTGGGGGAGGGGAGACTGAGAAGTTGCTGTTTAATGCATATAGAGCCTGTTTTGCAAGATGAAACGAGTTTCTGGAGATTGGTTGCATGACGTGAATACACTTAACACTACTGAACACCACAATGGTTAGGATGGTAAATTTTGTGTGCATTTCACCCTAATTATCAACAACAACAAAAACCCAAAGTGTATATTGTGCATCTCCCATAGCTATGGGACATCCCTGTGGATGTGTCCATCGGCGGGGACAAAAAGACACAGGGTTGAGGTCAAAATGCAGGCCAGGGAAAGAGGAAGATAGGAGAGTCCGAACAGGGGCATCACAGCCAGGGAGGCTGATGGCATGGAAGAGGGCTTCCCATGGACAGCAATG